AAGACATGCCTTTGGAATCAAAGGTATTTGAAAATAAGAAAATGATTGGTATGTTTTTTAGTTTAATACACTTCATAATATTTATTAATTTAGTTATTAAAATCTATAATTTTTAATTTTTTTACTTTTAATATAAATTTAAAAATAATAATTTATTAATAAATATATTAATATTACGTGTTAAGTTAAAATATATATCAATCATTGTTCTTAAAAATATTTTCCAAGAATTCGATTGAGCTGTCACTAGATTATTCCACAGTGAGATGAGGGAGATGCTTTGCTAAGTTGATAAGTTAAAAAGGGTGTATTGCCCTCTTAAATAAAAAGTTAATCGGTCATTAAATAAGGGTTACAAATTTCAACGCTATGGAATTGGAAAAGAGGAAAAGAAGGGGAAAGGCCAAAGAGTATGGACCAGCACTAGTGGAGAGGGGGTGGACAACCATTGAAGACGTGTCAAATACAGCTACCCATAAAACCACAAAGAGATATGTGATTTTTTTTTTTTTTTAAATTTTTGGTGTCAATATTCTTCGTACTTTGGTTTTGGATCTGTCAATCTAAGTGCTTTGTTATAAAATTATGTAGATAGTTGTTTTGCAACGGAGTCTGTTCAAAACGTTACAAAACGTGTCATCATGCTTAATTTCGCCTTCAAAAATGCAAATCTTCTTCTAATTAACAAGTTATATGTACCATTACGAGAAGAGAGATTAATTAACAACTAAAAGTAAGATTGTTATTAATTAGTAAAATCATTCATGAATAACTCGCAGCAATAAAAAATAGGGTTAGCTTGTTTAAAAGTTGATTTATCTCTAGTACAAAGCTTCTCTTTTGTACCAATTGTTAGAAGTGATTATCTAATACTAGTTAAGTTTGGTGTTTCATTTAATCTTATATTAGGTTTGACCTCTCCACTTGTTGTCGATACGTTTTATGTTTGACATTTGATATGGGATTAGAATCCAAGTTGATTGTTCTCCTAGCATGTTTGGTCCCTCTATGGCTACTGAGATAAAGGGATGATGCCCAATCCTGTGTCCAAAAAAAAATACAAATGTTAGTGGTTTATAAATATAATTATTAACAATAGAATTTTGAAAATCACAGATTTCAACCTAGAAAGTTTGTTCGGTTAATGGAGACTTTACTTGTTGGGTGAGACTGTGAGAGCAAGAGGTAGTACTTGCTCCCCAAGGGAGGTGCATCCCAATGGTTTATTGTTTGGACCTTCCTGGTACTTCCCCACTCCCTTGTCCCATCCCTATCCTCTTTCTCGTAATAATGTAACAAAAAAAAAAAAATTTAATTCATTGGGTTTATTTAAGTGGTTAAAAGGCAATTTAAATCAGGTTAAGAATATAACAGGTGTAATTCTTCCAATGTCATTTAAGTGAATAATTTCAATAGGGTATAGCTACTATCTTTAAAAATAAGACTATACTCAGTAATTGTGGATGGAATAGTTGTAAATATTTATAAAATTTGTTAGATTAAAGGTTTGGAAATTTATATTATAAAAAAATGATAAAAATTCTAAAAAATTCAAGTTAGGACAATGGAGTGGACTGATATAGTGAGCAAATATGGCATCAACAAAGAAAGAAATCGAGTTTCTTTCTTTTTCTCTTCATTCTTCTAGTCTTTTCCATTCTCCGAAAGATGCAAGGAGACTCCCACTGGAACGGATCATAATAGGCCGCAACAGGCCTACAATTCGGCCCAGAATTAAAGCTGAGCCACAACAAGAGCCTAAAATTTGGCCCGCTCAAATCAAACCATATCTTTCCTCTTTTCTTGCCTGGATCATAACTGAATTAGAAGTCATTTGTGGGCCTTGTTACCCATTTTTAAAATGGGCCTGTATTTGTTGCCTGCGCTGATGCCTTTTCTGTCGAATTTATTTATGGTAATGCCATTTTAGCCCCAAAAAATATATTTACCGTAATGCCAACTAGTTAACAACATGGTAAGAAGAATTACACAATTTTTGTGATTAAAAGTGTGAAACTCCAAAATTTCTTTGTAAAAGTATGGACAATCAACACTCTTGCTGCCGTTGCTAAGGTTTTCTCTCTCCAGCGGGCAAACATTGTGCCTAGGTGTTTCTCCCTGTTTTTCAGGGCTCCTCTTTGCTTCTTGCTTTTATCTCAATTCCTTATTCCCTTCTTGGATCCAAATCGCATATTGGTCTGGAATTGTCGAGGCCCTTAGGGAGGACTTTGTGATTTTAGATTTAACCAAGCTTTGTTTCATGCACTATTGCATTGGAGATTTGCATCATCTTCCTCTCTAAAACAAAGCGATCCACTACTGCGATGCATATGATTTGCATAGATCTAGGATTTGCACACGGTTTTGTTGTGGATTGGGTCAATAAGGGGATGGTTTGGCTCTGCTTTGGACAGATGTTTTCTAACTGCAACAATCCTCTATTTCACAATCCCCTTTAGCTATTGAAATTGTTGATCTGGGTGGTTGTCATTAAAGGTTGATTGGGTTTTTCGACTGAAAGTAGAAGGAAACAGATGCTGTTGGTGTTCTGCAAGGGGAGAATGCTATTCCAGTCGATAAAGGGGCTCTCATTCCCTTAATGAATTTCGGCAACAAGGGATTGAAGAGGATTGGAACAGTTAAGGCCATGGTTGGGAGCCCATGGAGACAAGGGAGGTGCCTAAACTTGTATAGTGGACATGCCCTCTTGTTGATTATTCCTCAAGAATAGATAGGGCAGCAACTTGCGGGTTGGGGACTGTTTATTCCTAGAATTCCTTGCTCTCCTCATGAAGTTGATTAAATAGGTGAGTAGGTCTAATAGCTTTTGATTCTCATAACGACTCTTTTTTCTACATTAGTAACTCTATTTAGCTCATACAGTAATGAGCATAATTTAAATTTGTTACTAATGTTGTAGGTTATGTTTTTTATTTCTATTTTTAGGATATGCTGCTTTAGGCTATATTGCTATGAGATGGAGAATTACACTATAATTTCTCATTATTTAATATATTTTTTTATTTCCTATAAAAAGAAAAAAAGTGTGAAACTCTATATCTTAAAGTTCGAAAATTTGGATGGATCAAGAGAAAGTGACAACAAAAGGCCACCAGATGTATTAAAAAAACTGATAAATGTTAATTTAATTGGCATTTTTAACCACTTAGGTTTCATATTTTTTGAAGTTATCACTCCTTTAATTTGATATACATGGTTTTGTCATTTTGAAACGATTTTATAAAGAAATTTTAATCTATTTTTTAATTATTATTTTATAAGTCAAATGTAAATCTTAGAATTAATATTTAGAAAAATTATTATTTTTAAATATATTAAGCTACGCACGAGGTCAATATAGAGTAGGTTTTTAGAATCATACAAAAAGTACTAATTTTCAAATGTACAAAAATTAACACAGAATACTTTGACAATAACATAATAAAATAAATTTTGTGATCCTAACTTTATAAAGTTATTACAGTATATAATTATATAATTCCATGCTAATACCAATCAACAACGGCGCAGTTTTATTGTCACCCTGAAAACGGATTTTTTAAAATAGAATTCGCAAGATGATGATTATGATGGATGCAGACACCCTCTATTTATAATCAAGCTCTGGTTTTTAATTTTAAAATCAGTATTTAAAAACAATAATCATTTTAAAAATATTAAGCTATGTACTAGGTCAATATGGAATATGGAGTGAACTCTTAAAATTACATAAAAAAATATTAATTTAAAATGTATAAAAATTAACAAAGAAACACTTTGACAATAACAAAATAAAATAAAAATAAATTTTATGGTCCTAACATTATGGAGTTATTACAGTATATATATAATTTTATAATTCCATGCCAATAATAATCTACAACGTCGCAGTTTTAATGTCATCCTGAAAACAGATTTTTTTTATGTAGAAATCTCAAGATGATGATTATGACGGATACAGACACCCTTTATATATCTATAATCAAGCTCTGTTTTTCTAATCTTCAATATTGCTATCTGAATATCATTTTCATGTACAAGCTAACTCAGACTTTTTTGCTTATTTCCTTCATTTTTCAGCCAAAACCGATCTTGAATTGGTGTTTGGATTTGTGTTGTTCCCCAAAACGAAATCACCTATTAACATTAGAATTCATAATGTGTCCAGTTAGGAGATGTTGTCTTTTTTTTTTTTTTTTTTTTTTTTTTTT